GGACCATGCGGATGGTTCGTCTAAAGCCCCTACGGATCCTAAGGAGCTTAGTTCATGGGAAAACAAAGATGCTCGAATTGTTTCGTGCCTGCTTAGCTCTATTGAACCAACTATGGTCAATAATCTTCGTTCATTTACAACTGCTAAAGAAATGTGGGATTATTTGCGACGAATTTATTATCAGGATAATTCTGCACGAAAATTTCAATTGGAGTTGGATATTGGGAATTATCGACAGGGAAATTTGTCAATTGAACAATTTTATTCAGGTTTTATTAACTTATGGAGCGAGTATTCCAAGTTGGTGCAGTCTAAAGTTCCTAAAGATACTTTAGCAGCATTACAAATGGTTCATCCTGAAAGTCAACTGGATCAATTTTTGATGAAATTACGACCCGAATTTGAAAGTACACGTGCTGGGTTAATCAATCGTAGTCCTGTACCGTCCTTGAATGTCTGCTTAGGAGAACTATTGCGTGAAGAACAGCGACTTGCTTCTCAGCATAGCATCAGTCCGAGCAATGAGAATTTTGAGATGGTCAATGTAGCCGATGCCGCACAAGGCAAAGGAAAATCCAAATCATCACCACAGTGTTACAGGTGCAAGGAGTTCAGTCACATTGCAAAATACTTTACCAAGAAATTCTGCAACTATTGCAAAAAGGAGGGTCATATTATCAAAGACTGTCAAGTGCGACCTCAGAATCGATCACCTCCTGCTTTTCATCATGCTGTTCAGTCCAACCTTGCAGCTGCATCTTCAGATCAGTTAGGTACCTTGGGTTCCCCCTCAACTCTTACACTTGAACATGCTCAATAGATGATTATTTCTGCTCTCTCGACGCTTAGCATTCAAGGTAAAAATAATCTGTCTCCTTGGTTAGTTGACTCTGCGGCTTCCAATCACATGACTGGTAATATGGAAGTTCTAAATAATGTTCATAAATATGACGGTGAGCAGCATATCCAGATAGCTAATGGCAGTAATATTCCTATCACGGCAGTTGGAGATTTGGGGTCTTCCTTTACTAATGTTTTTGTCTCTCCATATTTATCTGCCAATTTAATTTCTGTTGGCCAACTGGTAAAAGATAACTATACTCTTTATTTTGATCGTAATGGTTGTCATGTGCAGGATCAAACAT